TTTTATGTAAGTAGATTTGTTTACTTGTGAAAAGAAATCTTATAGATAATGAAAATTTAGGAGTAGTAATATCATATCTGCTACAATTTTTTTGCCCTTAGAAATTTACCTGAGAACCAGTTGAGTTTCAAAAGCCAATTCTATGTATTAATCAGATCAAATTCCTGTTATATCAAACGAATCATAGAAAGTATTACTTAAGTAATCATATGATCAGAGTGCGCAAATTCGGACTTTTGGGGTATATTTTTTTCCCTTCAAAATGTCGTGGAGTCCAAAGGAGCTTAGTTGGGTGAGGTATTTTCACAAGTCATATTGGCATTTTCAACAGTAATCGGATTTGATATTTTGATTTCTCTTAAATTTTACTTATTGTAATTTTTAATTTGAAAATAAAACATTAAAAATCCATTCTTACATTTATGTCTTCTCCCAATTCTTGTAACATATTTTTAAGGTTTTATTATTAACTAAAAAAACATGACAAATAAAATTTAGCAGAAATCGAAATAACTTATAATAAGAATAAGAATTGGATGGAGTACTTGATAGAAAAGGTGTAATGACATAAATATGTCACGAATTCTTTTTTGGCAATCCTATGTGCTCTAGTTTAAAGATTAACCTACGTTTAGAATTTAGTGTATCATCCTCAAAGAACGCAAATTAAATTAGTTGAGTTGTAGCTTTTAAATTTGAGATCATTTAGCTAAAAATAAAAATGGGGTTTAGCTGAAGTTGCATCTGGACCCTGGGAAGTAGGCAAGTAATATTAAGATCCTGCAAGGTGTACCTAGGCAGTGCGTGAACCACACATGGGGGAAGAGAAATTGGAATAATTGAGTCCGAAAAAAAGGAGTCCACACGCGCATTTATTATGCAAATCATCAGTTTAATTATGTGATCAAATGTTATCTCTTTTTTTCCTTCCAAATTTTAATTACGAGAATTAATTCCTCCAAATTTTATCCCCTTTTTTTAGCACATCTTTAATTTCAAATGTTATCTTTTTTAATGCTTATCATGTTAGCTTTTATATTATTTTATTTTATGAGATTATTTTTTTAAAATTAGGTTTCTTCTTGTCGCGCGTTGCATGACCAAGTTTTTATATAAATTATAATTTTTTTAATAAATTGCAATATGAAAATAGCGAATAACGATTTTTTTGACCGATGGTGTATTATATTATTACGATTTTACGATGAATATCTTATGTTAATTAATGAATAACGAGTTGTTATTGATGAATAATAGAAGTTTTGCTAATTGGACGATGTTTCAACTATGAGAAAGAGGCTTTTGTTGCTTATAATTCTTACACAAACCACATTGGTTTTATCAATGAACAAGTTCAAAGATTGGAAAATGTTCAAATCTGGTGTTGTATATTGGAAACAATTTGCATGTAGTTAACTAGGAGTAAAAAATTCAAGACATAGGTGCGATACAACAATGAATAATTATACCAAACTGATGAATACGACAATTTCAACAATGAATAATTATACCAAACTGATGAATAACCCTCTATATCAATATCTACACTTATTGTGGTTTGATTTTTTGCAGATTCAGATATCCTGCTTCTTTTGGCTTCTGAATGTTGTTTTTCGCTCATGCTTCTTTCAGATTGTGTCTGATATTCATCGCTTATGCTACAATATATTTACAAATTCCATGAATAACTTGTCAGATGTGATGAATCCGGCAATTTCAACAATGAATAATTATACCAAACTGATGAATAATACAAATATCTAGTAATTTACCAAAAAAAACAATAATACATAGTGATGGTAAACGATGAATCTGGCAATTTTAACAATGAATAATAATACCAAACTGATGAATAATGCAAAGATCTAATAATTTACCAAAAAAACAATACTACATAATTATGGTAAACAATGAATTTGACAATTTCAACAATGAATAATTATACCAAAACAGATGAATAATACAAAGATCTACTACTTTACTAAAAAATAAAACAATACTACATAGTTATGGTAAACAATGAATCTTACAATTTTAACAATGAATAATTATACCATTCTGATGAATAATACACAAATCTACCAATTTACCAGAAAAACAACATCCAATAAAAGAATAAAACTCTAAAATTGATGAATCTGATAATTTCAATAGTTATGAAAACAATGAATCTGATAATTTCAACAATGACTAATTATACCAAATTGATGAATAATTCTTAGATCTTCTAATTTACCAAAAAAAAAAGCAAATCAAAGAACATATCTCTAAAATTGATGAACAAATATCGTTAATTGAGTGAACATACCTTAGATCTACATAACCCAAACAAAAAAACAACACCAATGATTGAAGAGAGTAGTTGTATTACCTCGCTTCCCCTTCATCCTCTGATTTGCTCATACTCGGTTCGGAATCCTTCGCCATAGGCATCTACATGAATATTTTAAGAAAAAATAACATTCATCAAACCAGAATCAAACAACATAAACACAGAAAAATCGATGAATTTGACCAGAATACACCTTAATCCTCATCTTCAGTATTGTAACTTGTAATCAGAATTACCGTTTTTTATGAACGATTCGATTCAAACTTCGGAAGTCCCGCCGACGGTAGCTTCTCTAAATGTATCGCCGCAGGATTGATTTTTTGGGGTTTCGATTTTTTTTTTTTTTTGATTTGGGGAGTAATGGAATAGATCGAATGGAATGTTGGATCATCAATAATGGCTGAAAATTAGGAGATAATGGTGGTTATCAAGATTTGAAAATCAAAAAATCGCGCATAAAGGGGTATTAAATGGGCGCATGTTTTTCACTCGGGTGGCAGTGACGTAATTTTTGGAAGTCCCCATTTTTTTAGGCGCATTTATATCAAATTGGGTACATCTTCCTATGTGTACCTAGGATCTCTATATTATAATTGCTGGGAAGTAAGCTGAGTGTTGTACCTATTTGGTACCAAGTCTATTAATGGGTAAACAATAATTAGATCATTTATGAAGGGAGTTTGGGCCTTTGCTCCAAAAACTATATATTGCTTCCATCTTCAACTTAATGGAATACTTCATAAAAGTTACACAAAATTGTGTTTTTTCGACTGTATTTATTGGTGTTAATATAATTAGAGCAATGATATTTCACTCTATAAATTTGACTCGACACTTATTTTTATTTATATATTTATCTAGTTGATATTTCACACCACCTTCTTAACAATTATTTTCTATAACCACCAAAGCAATAACCAGTACTAATTGATTCAATGAAACTTGATTTAAAAAACAGCTTTTATCCTTTTTCCTTTTTCTTCTTCGTTTCCTGCATGTATATATGTTTTCTTTCACCACATTATAGCAGAATCCTATACCATAAAGAGAAATTTAGGTTCCTCTTTACGAACTGAAAAATGGAATTCCTCCTCAACGACTTCTTCCTCGCAAAATTGTGAGAGTTGATTAAACCACCGACTTTATCACAACCAGCTACAATTATAAAAAATTGTACAAAACCCCATGCATGCCAGATTGAAGGTGACGTTGAGAAAAAAAAAGAAAAGAAAAGAAAGGAAGACATTAATTGAAATTGTTTTGCATTTTTTTTATTTATCATATTTAGTATGCTAGCTATAGTACCTAAAAAGAAAGCTATGGTGTTTAATTTTCTATTTACTATTGAAAATGACTTATAACAAGTAAAAACTAGCAATAAAATTCCAATCTCTTTTTCAAGCCTTGTTTTACCATTCCGATGCACTGTCATTTGCTTCTTCTCATTCTCCCATTTTCCTCTGGTTTCATTTTGTTCTTCTTCCATTTTCCTCTGGTTTGATTTTGTTCTTCTTGATGAATTTGTAAACGACATTATATGTGACCAAAAATGGAAGGGGAGAGCTCCTTAGTATCTGTACAACATCATGATATGTCAAGGAAGAGACTCATGAGGAGCAAGAGTTGCCCGGCAAAACTAGAGGTTTTTGAACCTATTGGAAGCCAAGAAACTCAACAAGGTTGGTATTTAATTTGAATAATATAGTTAATTTTGTCATTTAGTTGATTTGTATGTTTCTCACAAATTTTTGATTTTTTGAATAAGATCCAAGTACGGATGAAAATGTGAAGACTCCGGATGAAAATGTGAGGACCTCGGTACGAGGAAGAGACTGCAAATATACCAATCCGAATCCTAATACTTGCAATCGTTGGAGGAATCACAATTGGTTTTGCAATGGCATTTCCAGGTGAGTACTGTTTGTGGCTTCATTAGTGGGGTACAAACTATAAAAAATAATAATAATTTTAAGGGGCCTCGCCAAATTAATGTAACTTACCTTTTGTTGTGTGCAAATTTTCAAGGTACGGAAATTAAGAATATTTTTTAAAGTAAACTTAAGACAAAATCTTGGAGAGATTTATTTGTTGGTTGTTCCCAAATAGGACAAGAGACCGATGATTTGTGGCTTATCCAAATAAATTTAAAGAAAAACATCTATTTTTAGTATATTAGAACGTTTGAAGTGATTAAAGAAAGTGGCAGCTAATTAATTAGAAAAGAATGTCAGAATGTGATCATTTGTAAGGCATTCCAAAAGTTTCAATGCATTAATGGTTGAAAAACATTGACTATTAGTTTGACTAATAGACTATAAAGAAACTTCAGAACTTCCTTTATTCTTTCTTTCTTTTTATACTTCGGAAGCAAGAAAATTGCCTAGTGATTACAAAAGGGGTTCCTATGCGTGAAACCCCTAATACGTACGACTTGACACATTAAATTTACGATTCCGGTGGGAGGATTTACCCTTCCTTTATTCTTTCTACAATCGATGGAGTTTAAAATTTTCCCAAAGCATTTCAACTCTATTTTTTTTTCATTCTGGAATCTTGTTCTGCCTTGTATAATGTAGTAATTTTTTTGGACCTGCTACGTAGCATTCGCTTTTCAGTTTTATAAATACTTGTATGAATTAATTCTTTCCAATTAGGTGACTTGTTGAGCATGGCAACATTCTTGCGCAAGTTATCTCCGGATATCTTGCGTAGAATAGCCAAGGCAAACAAGAACGATTTCTGGATTTACGTGAGTCACTGGGAACAACTGTTCGTGACTGCTATACCTTTATCAGCTGTATTAGCAATTCCAATGGCTTTGTATCTGCCATCGGGGTGGGGCAGGAAACCAACTTTGATCTTAGGATCATTCTGTTTGTTGGCCGGATCAATTTTGTTGCTGTGGTTTCCTAGCCCTAGTGTTGCACGTGGGGATGCTAATTCAAGGATTAGGACTCGGAATCGCATTTCAGGTACTGAAAAAATTGCTTCTATAGTTATTACGATAGTTTCATCAGTGATAATTGAAGTTTTGGAGGATTTCTAATTTTCAAATTTGACCTTTTTTTTTTGTAGATTATTCCGATGATGTATGTGGAAACCGTGTCCCCTGTCACAGAACAAAATTGATTTGGTCTTCCAGTACATGGTTCGGGTTGGTAACGTACTGGCAGCCCTTATCATCTTTGCGGCATCATACTATCCAACATGGGGATGGATAATTCCATTTGGGTGCGTTTGCTTCCTTTCAGTTGTGCTACCGTTGGTCACTTTTAACATGAGAGAGACCCCAAGATTGTTGTTCTAGCTAGGTTTTGTGGTGGAAGCCGAAAAAGAACTTAAAAAGCTTCGTAGATATGATTCGGAGGTCAATAGAGAATTTGAAGACTTGGCTGGAATTGGAATTGGAGTTAACAAACAAGTCGAAGATCTGTGTGACTATCGCTCTCGCCCAGCACTGTTGATAGATGTTGCTGTGACTTTTATGTCACCACTAATGGGAGCAGGAGCCTTGATGTTTTTTGGTGCACTTATCTTACAATCAGTTGGATTCAAGTCACACGTGTCTTTTCTTGGTCCTCTGATTGCAAGTGTTTGCGGGATATGTGCAGCAAGGATTTCCACGTTTTTCCTCAACAGATTTGGAAGGCGAATTCCTACACTGCTATCATTCTTCATCATATTCATCTCAAAGGTACGTATTATCCTTTTTGTTTTTTCCATCATTCAATATATAACTGAAGCTAATAGCTTAAACTACTCTATTATAGTTGTACTTGGCTAATTTTGAGCTTAGATTGTCATTACACAAAAGTTTTTTTTGCTCAAAGTAGGAATGATCTCAAACTATGCAGATCTAAAGGCTTTAAGTGATCTAGGTTAGGTAATGCATCTGGAATCGTTGTTTTCCCTTGGAGAAATGCATAATTTAAGCATTCAAGTTGTAGTCAAGAAGCCTTTTGATTCTACCGTAGAGGTTTCCTTCTATTCTCCAATTTGGGTAGATTTCCCATCAGCTGCCATAGCCTGGACTACTTCTAATTGAGTTTGCCTAAGACCTGTAACCCATGCTCTAATCGGTCATTACTGAGATCCCTGTAGCTTAGCCTCAAATGATGACCAACCGTCAAACTTTAGTCTTAAAATCAGGTGGTCAATCAGTTTCCTTCTTGATCCCAAATAAGTTTTTAGGCTGCAGACCACACCCATTGTTTTTTTAACTGTTTGCAACTTTGTTTCGACCAGCACCAAAATCTCAAACTCACCCAACTAATCTCTTTCACAAGTTAAATGATCACATGGTAATGTTTTGTACCAGCAGCTTCTTCTACAAAAAATCAGCATATTCTGGTCCCCCAAAGTTTCCAGCAAGTCTTCGCAAACCAAATACCCTAAGGAATGTTACCCTACATGGAAGAATAACTCAAACTAGAAAAAATCCAATTTCGCTAGTCATTTTAAGCCTAGAATTTTGGATGAATTCCTGCTTGGATGTCCCTTCCACTCCTTTCCTGTGCAATCCCATTCCCAACTCTGCACAGTAGAATACTGGGTTCCCCTGTCTAACCCTCATCTTGGCGTAAATTCGGCCCAGGCTTGTCCTCATAATGCTTGTGTTCAACCCCCCTGGAGGATGCATATGATAAGTTGGATAATTCTGAGGTATTATCATCCTCCAGTGTGCCCTGGATAAATTTCCGCTTATTCAGATCATAATCCTTGGCAAGCTCTACCTAGATTGCCATCAACACTTTTGGGTACTATATATGTTTCTCATGGTATAGATCATGTGTTGGGTAATGACAGTATTGTCCATTATGCTCCTTCCTGGTTTGAAAATAATTTGAGTTGGCATAATCTGTGTTATCTTGGTGATAATTTTTTTTTGTTACATTTATCAGGCTCATTAGTCAGACATTTATCAGGCTCATTAGTCAGAAAGGCTGATATCTTTCAGCGATAACAATTTGTCAAATGAGCATAATCATTGTGTTTTGATTCTATGATCCCTTTCTCCTTAAGCATATCTTTGGCCATTTTAATTCTTACACACTGTCCCATTTACTAAATCTCAGTTGCGCTGATAAATTCTTGCATTTAATAGGTCAATACCGGTGAGCTGAATGGTTGTATTTCAAAAATAGCTGGTTCGATTTCTTACAAATTTCATAGCTCGTGATTATTTAAGGTCCTTCTGATAGAGCTTGAAATTCTCCCCTGATCTCGTATTTCCTTCCAACAACAGTATCTTCTTTGTAGAGTGTCTTATTTAAGGGACTTCACCTCCTTAGAACACCCTCTTCTATCATCATCTAATTCCAACAGTTTGATCTGTTTTCCGAATCTCTTCGGTTTTATGTACCCCTGGAATGGTTGGGTATTTCTGTCAACAGGATCTAGCAAAGCGGACTTAGAATTTTTTGATTGGATCTTGAAACTCCTTCTATGTGTCTGTTGGTTCGAATTCTTCCTCAAATTATTTCCAAAGCTTTCTGAATTACCTCAAATCCTGGCAAGATTTCTTTTTCCCCTTGTGTGAAGATTACCATAGATGCTAAACTTCCAGGCCTCATTATTTCTTATCCATCGCCAGACTAAGACTTTCTTTCATTTCCCAAACCACTACGTGTCTGCAATTTTTTCTGCTTCATCTGTGTCTCATTATCAAGTATAATTCTTTCTAGTAGGTAGGCTCACTAATTGTTTGTTTCAATGTCGTGCAGCTTGGTGTATGGATAACATTTCAAGTGGCTAATGTGAACATACATTTTCATTGGAAGCTTGTCCCGGCTATACTGTTTGCATCATTCATTCTGCTGTCTGTGATTGGCTTCCACGTGATTACAGCTCCTCATTGACTGACAGCTTATTCATATTATCGAGACAGCTACGCTCTTGGTGCTGCTTTCACAGGGAGTATTTCTATGGCTATGATAGTTATTATGGGCCATACGACATTACCACTTTTCTGCTTGACGCTGCATTGGATTTTCATGTGCATGGTGGTAATAACATTCTTCTTGGGACTGCTAGTGCTTTTCTTGGTGCCAGAGACAACAAATATCGTGGCCGAGGAGCTTCATGAAAAAATTTGGGCCAAACACTTCTTCTGGAAAAAAGTTGCACCAAAGCCAGGATTAGCTAATGCATAGGTGCAAACTCATTCATTGTAAAAGTTAATGTTTCCAGATGTTGAGAGATTTGTCCAACCTGTGTGTTTCAATGTCGTATGTACTACTTTCCTGCAACCTAAATATGCCTCAAGTTGACTTAAACTAAAAAATATGATGTTGCATGGTTTGAGTTAATCTTACTAAATTCTCTAGGCCTAGCTCTGCTCTGTCTTGATACTTAGACTAAATTACTAGGTTTGTGGGATGCCGCACAAGGTGTGATACAATTTGGTATTAGCCTGGATTCATCAGTTTTATTGCTTTTCATTCTTTTAATGACAAGGAGGTGGTCTAACTCTTCTAGCAAATCTGAATTGAAAGGATAATTGTAGCTCTCCTGAGAATCTAAAACTGAAAGCTCTGATCTCACGCAAATGAAATCATCAAAGAGCAATACAAATGATTCACTTAGAAGTATCAAAATACAGATAATAGATGGGAAAGAAGACACAAAAGCTTGCATCAACAAGCACCAAAGTGTAAACATAATGATTCAAAAGTAAAAGAAAAATTCCGGATTTAGAAAAGTTAAGATTCACTTCTACCACACATTACATAATGCATCTGTCCTTGTAGCTTCCAAAAATAAGAACCAGCTCAAGCTTGTTGCATTGATGATGGCTGATGCGAGCTATTTCATGCTCTTCGGAAGAAGTTGTACCTGCAGAGGGAGTCTCAGAATAGGTAATGTCCTATGGAGCTGTCCAAAGGAATGGTAGTGGTGTTCTGTTCTTCAAGCATATTGCAGCAGCTATTTTACCAACCAGTATCTCCAAAAAAAAAAAATGTAGATCTCCTTGTCCAAGTTCCCAGATCACGCTTTACAGACCAACCCAGAGAGTCAAGAACCTAAAAGCAAAACCCGGAGGCGTTTAACTAACTGAACCTGAACCTGAAATTTATAAAAAATAAAAAATAAAAAATAAAAAATAAAAAATAAAAAAACCAACTGAACCTGGGTTATTTCAAAACCTGAAATTCAAATTGAACCTACTTATGCCATTATTCATACTGTCTGTGATCCAATCTTCAACAAAGATATTCACTGCAGACATTAGACAGCAATTTTTTTTTCCAGTTAACACTTTTTGACAAACCCCAAAGAGTTTTCAGGATATCAGAAGCCCTGCATTCAAAAGTTTACACTATATATGCCACCATTCATTTCTCTACGTGAACATAATACGACCACAGAGCAAGAAACTCATAAACAGCATCTCAAACACATCTCAAGCTTTGATAAAAAATAAAGTCGTGCATCAATGCAATTCTGACACTTCAGGAAAATGAAAGAAGAGTTTCCAACAAGTTTAAATTGAACAGTCAATCAAACAAAAGTATAGATTTGAACTTGACCAACAAATATTCGAAAATTTTATGACCGAGACATTGTGGTCAAGAAGAACACAAATTATCCGAAAAAGATTAACATGCGATCTTTGGAACAATTTCACAAGAAAATAGATCAATTACCGTCAATGTTGAGCAGCAAGAGCGCTGAAATAGCTTAATCTTAGATGACCAATTCGTCATTAAATTAAGAGACCCTAGAATTCTTGGTGCTATCTGGAGACATTACAGAATTTTCAGATAGCATCTAACCATTTTGTTTCCCAACAAATTCCATCCACGCCTTCTATTTTGCTATTCAAACTTTGAGATTAAAATGCAACTACACAGCATAGCTACGTCTATAATGACAAAACCGGATAAAATGGAAGAAAGGAATAGATTACGAAAACAAAATTGGGAAAGCAGCTTATGCTACATCTTAGAGCTGAATATACTTATCCCCAAGAAAAAAAACCTCACAAAAGAACGTCAAATTGAAGTGGAAAAGAATATGAAAATTCAGCATTACATGACCTCAAATAAGCACAGAGGGGAGAACCAGAGAAGATCACATTTCTGCTTTAGCATCAAATGATATACGCACATCCAGACCCTATGTTTGAAGTAACAAGAAAGGGAAAAGATATTGGCCTAAAAAATCGAGGCATACTATGATATACTTCCGCTGCTCCATTATTCATTGACATCATGTCTTCTACCCATGAATCCACTCACATCTCCCTTAGCTGATTTCCTTGTAAGAATAGTATGCTGCAACTATGCAGCTATTTTTCAAAGCAACAGCTAACTTAGACCTGGCAAACCAACTTGGCACGGGAAAATCACAATGCAACTTAGCTCGGCAACTTTCAGCTAAAAGAGGAAAAAGACGTCCCAACCATCACAATAATCTAAATATGACTAGAATCTAAATATGATGATTTGCTTTGCAATATCAACATTTCCTAGTTTTCAAAGAACCTCCCCAGTCCAATGTTATATAATAAATGTAACAAGACCGAGTGTAATTCCAGAGGACCAGTTCTTACACTGCAACCGATGCAAAACAAAGAAGAAAAGAGCTACTAATAAGACATTAACGAACATGATTTGGAGACAGATGAAGAGCAGCACGGCCACGTGTATGGTGTTATGAGAATGTACAACTTTCAGCATTTGTAAAGATTTTAGAGTGCTTATGTTGGCGAACATAAAGACACGTATCAGCGTTTCAGGAATCAAACTCAAGAATGATGAATCTTTAGAAAATCACAAAACCAAAAGCTTACATAGAAATCTTATGCTGCAACAGGAAGGGATTCAAGAGGCCTAATTAAGATTCAAGAGGTAAGAAAGCAAATGCAAGACAGGACCGAAAACTATGAGATTATCAATGATGTATAAAAAAAAGTTCAATAACAACGAAGGAACCTTTCGGCAGCAATTAGTAGAAAAACCCCCAATAGAAATACTGTAAAACACCCAATATTGCTAGAGATGGCAAAGGAAACCACAGTGCTGGAGATTTTCTGGGGCGATT